ATTATTCACTACCTTACCTATTATGACTATCTTATCTATTGTGACGATTGCTTAATCCATTGAGATGACTCTATTAATATGACTACCTATTGTGACGATTGCTTAATCCATTGAGATGACTCTACTTATATGACTACCTATTGTGACGATTGCTTAATCCAATGAGATGACTATTTATATGACTACCTATTGTGGTGACTACCTATTGTGACGATTGCTTAATCCATTGAGATGACTCTATTTATATGACTACCTATTGACTACCTATTGTGTGGATTGCTTAATCTATGGAGATGACCAAGAATCAAACCTTAGCACGTTCTTTCATGCAAAAAGCTTCTTTCTTCATGGTGTCCCGGCTCTGGATGTTGGACTGGAATATGATAACCAGCACCTAACCTAATGTGACAACCTAGGAAGAACTGATATGGAAGTTGAACGATAGGTTATGAATTCTATTTTGTGAGACCAATGATGATTACTTATTATTCTAATCCACGTAAGAAGAAAAGTTATTAAAAATTAAAATTTTATGCCAGGATAAAGGCATGTTATAAATTTTTAAAATCACTAAAATGTAAAATCATAATGGATATATTTGAACACACAAAAAGCCTTTAAAAAATTATTTACTTAAATTCTTAGTGAAATTTTATTTTTTGATTTCTTGAATGATGACCAATTGTTGTAAATTAACAACTAATCCTAAAAATGAATTCTTAGATATAATTAAATATAAACCATTATAAATCCTAAACAAGAAGATAAAACTTTAATTTTAAATATATTAAAGTGTAATTAAAACATATGAATTAAAAGGGATTGATTTAAATAACCCTTACTTATTATAAGTAATACTTAATATGATAAAAATGTTTTTGAAATAAAGCTTTTGAAGACAAAAGGTTATGTAAACATTAAACATCATTATTTTAGAAAAATATTGTGTGAAATTTAAATTTTTTTTAAGAGAGGGAAATGTGCATAATATTTGCATATTTTAACCTCGGAGATTGAAAATAAATAAAAATAAATTAAATAAACGCTACTAATTAAATATTGAAACGCTAAAAATGTAAAACGCAAAAAATGTAAAACGCAAAAAATATAAAACGCTAAAAATATAAAACGCTAAAAATATAAAACGCTAAAAATATAAAACGCTAAAAATATAAAACGCATAAAACGCTAAAAGTATAAAACGCTATGATTAACTTAACACCTAAAAAATAATATAATAATCATTATGATTTATCATTCCTTATTCTGGATTTTATTCCTTATTCTGGATTTTATTCCTTATTCTGGATTTTATTCCTTATTCCATAAATTATCATTCCTTATTACATACTTTATTGTTCCGAAATTCAAAATTTTATTCGTGCATATTATTCATATATTTGATTTGATCAACTATTCCAAATTACATATTCCGAGTTATTCCAAATTCCAATATTCGACTGGATTAATTATGAAACATGATAATAACAATTTTGAGAAATGTGAACAACATACGATAAGGATATCAAGCCTAAAAAAACGTACAAACTCATGCAACTCTAATAAACGATTTTATCAAACCTACGTGATAGAATCAAGCCTACGAGAACATTTGAGACTTATGCGCTAGCCAAGATAAAACCGAGTACAATCGAAACGGGAAAAAACTTCTGGGACAACAAGCTCTCGATGACTGCTGAGAAGAAGCTTCGTTCTTTATAGAAGAGGGGGAATGTTGGTTGATCATATATTAATTTAAAGAATTAATCTTAAATTTGAATAGTTAATCTTATATTATAAATTGATGTGTTTGATATAATTTAACTATTCACAAAAACGTGATATTATATATTTTTCAATTAACTTTTTTTTATATATATATACTATGTTTTTAGACATGATATAATAATAAAATATTTAACAAATTTGTTTTAACCTTTATTTTTACCCTCCAAACGGTTTAGTATATGATTTGACTTTGTCATCCTTCTGTTAATTATTATCATTGTTTGTTATTACATATGTATGCGAAGATTATGAATAATTTTAGTATTATAAATAATTTAACCATATTTTCATATTTTTGCTACCAGCACAGCCACCCTTTTCCATATATGCGTTTAATTTCGGAAATAATTTTTTGCGCATACTATCAGCAGTTTCTATTAAACTTTTAGAAATTATCGTGGGATTTTAAATGATTTTTCTATATCAATATTTCAATATATTTAGCCAATTTTGGTAAAATATTTGCAACAATTAACAAAGCCTTCCCCATGAGTTGTATCAAATGATCTCAAATCACGTCCACAAACATGGTAAGCAGGGGAGTCGCTAACCTTTGCAATCTTAGGAGGCTCAACTGAAATTTTTTTTTTGGGGGGGGGGGGGGGTTCGCCCTTATACTCTCCAATTTGCCGGCCTTTGGTCCGCTTTTGCCCTATATTAATATATCATACTTTTTTAAAATTTGCTAACTCTGAATAATTATTCTGAATCTCATATTTTGTCATTTATTATATTATGCATGCAAATCTAGCTTATAAATAATTACAATACAAGATATTTCTAAATATAATATTTTTTAATACAAAATCTATTTTTTAATACAAAATCTATTTTTTAATACAAAATCTATTTATTACAGTAAAAAATATTTTAGATTGCTGATATAAAAAAATTTTGCGTCTAAGGATTTACAAGTGATAAAAAAGGTGTAAATTTATACATATGCCTCAATTGATAATGTTTTTAAAAATCACATAATACAATATAATTCTTAACAACTTACATTGGCAATAGCTCGTGAAACTAATAAAACTCTCTGTTAACATTCTAGACAATGTTTCATAGAATGGACTAATAATAAAAAACTTATAGGCCTAACCAAATTAACAATTCTTGAAGAAGAGAATATAAACGGCCAATCCAAATCATTAAACTATATGGTGGATAGAGCTTCCTCTTGATGACATGATGGAGGCTAGATAAGTATTCGAGAAAATTATTGTGAGATATTAAATTTATAAAAGATTATCTTCCATTTTAAATGATATATAAACGACTACACAGATTGTTTATCTAAAATATGCAATCATATGCTCTCAGCCGTTGTAGTAATAATCTTTTACATAGCCACACAAATAATAGATACTGGTTAATTTTCAATCATAGCCATGACATTAACGATGTTAACTCATATCAGAATTTATTATGTTATATAAATTGATAAAACAAAAACACTAAAAATTTAGAAGATATTATCAAATATATTGAAGCCTTAAGTTATTTACACGGCAGGGATGCCATATTATAAATAAAAAATTTTGTAACAATAAAATAAGAACCAGAGGGATATGATAAAAGCAATTAAGATTTTATATATTATTGTCGCACCACCTCTTGTTGGTTTATTATATCTTAAAATAATAGTAATTGTAAAAAATCAAAAATCTACTCGTATTAAAAATTTAACTCAAAACTGTTCTTCAAATAAAAAAAATAACTTTAGTAAAAACACGTAAAAAAAAAGAAGAAAAGTTATATAATTTATAACATCCTTTGTTGGATGAATAATAAGATGTTAAATAAACAGATTGCGTTAAATATGCAAATTATTACTTATATTTATTATAAAAAGCATTTATTAGTAAAATTTATTAAAATATTAACTGTAATATATTATATAACTGTCAAATACGTCTGTAAAAGTGGCATTTTACCTAATATTTTATAGCCAATTATATATAATAGAGTGTAATTAAAGTTTTATTTTGTTATAAATTTCGATGTAATGTCAAGAATAAGTCAATAATTTATTATTCGGATTATTCGAGTTTTGATGAAGATGAAATAAAAGATTCTTTTGTTTAAGTTACAAAATATATAATATTATAATCGCCTCTCTTTGTCACCGTTTATAATAGAGGATTATAAACTATATGTCTGCCAATGATGTCTACTTATTTTTTATTTATAAATAAATCTCTTAGGATTTGTACCTTGAAAATAATAATAGGAAGAGATATGAAAATTAAATTTTAAAATCAATGATTAGTGATTTTGAACTGGGCTATTTTCAATATTAAATTTGTTAATTTTTAATTAATATTTATTAAATTAGGGTTATATAATAATTTAAATAATAAAAGTCAATTAAGTCAACTGTTAATGCTAAATTAATATTTATTGAGTGATATTAATATTTTATTTTCAACACAGAATTTGATTGCAAGCTGATAATGAAAATATAATTTATATGTATTAATCCAATCTAATAATTAAAAGAGTATTCATTTAATAAAAATTTAGATAGTCTTATTAATTTTTAAATAATAAATCGAAATCTATATATTACTCAATAGAATTAATAAAGAAATTGTTCAGGGGGCAATTAAATTTTATTTTTAGTTCAAGGGGATATTAAGGAATCATTAAAAAAATTGTTTGCTTCAGGGGGCTCGAGCCCCTGCGCAGCCCCCCCCCCCCTCCACCCTAGCAACGCCACTGGGTTTGTACCTAGTGAATATTCTGTAAGGTAGAAGCTGATCATAGGATACTTTATCCTTAAAAAATATGTCTATTTTTTGTTTTCAAGATTTGAAATAACCTCAGAAGGATTTAATAGTAATAATGTTTGTAGATTTGTAAGTGTTGCCTGATGAATTTAAATTTTTTCATTCTTTTGAGTTATATAAGTATCCAAGAAGGGATTAAGGAAATATATTTTATAGTATTTTTTTATAAGCAATTTTATAAAAAGCACATTTTTTATAAAGTTTTATACGAAAGATTTAGAAATATAGCATAAATGTCTGCAATAAGTAGGCTTATTTACTTTAAATTAACTTTATAGCGAGATAAACTAAATAGGTCTTTCCTCTACAAAATTCTGAATATCGAAATAGATATAAAGGATATTAATTATTTTGAAAAGTCATTTTTTTAGACATGTTGAAATTTAGCACTTATGATATTTTGCATATTATAATTCAATCATTCATTTGAATATTCAGGATTTTTAAAAGTATTGAATGATTTTGATTTCTTACAAATTTTTATCATCATATATACGATCATCTAAATATAATTTAACTTTATATTACTCTCAAATTTTTTTTATTCCATAATTCATTGTGTATTGCCTGATGAAATGAAATATAATTTTATCTATAAGTTTTTAATATTTAGTAATAATTTCAAAGCCTATTTTTATTCAAATTAATGATCGTACACAATAACAATTAATTATGAGAAACAAAAATGTAATAAAATATTTTCTTACTATATTTTAGAGCTTGCTAAATATAAATTAATATAGATAAAATATTCAATTTATAAAATAATTCAATTGTACTTTACATTTTCCAATTTAGAGGTTGACACAAATTTTAAACAAAAACAATCCATCTTAACCCACTACTTTTTTTATAGTAAGCTACATGTAGTAGAGATCTACAAATAGCAAAATTTTTAAGCTTGGCCTGGTTTTAGTTGGCCTTTAAAATCCAGATATATATCTCATGGACAAATAACCCATAATGATGAGGATTTAGGTTTCCAGTTTTTCTTATAGCATTAAACATAAAATTGAAAAATAAATCATAAATAATCTTAGTAGCAGGTCATTTAATCATTAAAATATAAGTAAGGGTGTACCAATACCACTTTTTGGAGGCCTATCTGATCTGATATTCCAGATATTAAAGATATTGGCCGATTACAGATCCGATATCATATTTAGTTTTGTATTCTGTAAAGATACCAATTGTTTTAATTAATATACTTTTTATTAGTATAACATCTATAATTTTACTATACCATAACATATGTCATTTAAATATATTATAATGATCAGTTATAGTTTATATTCAATTCAGTTATAATTCTAAAAGTATATAAAATATTTTTATTGATAAATCACTTATTTATATAATAAATAATAACATTAATCTATTTACATAATTAGTAATAAACAAATATATTATGAAATTTGAAATAAATATTTAAAATTAATATATGGAAGATTTCTTTTTAGAAATACCAAAATTTTTGATTTATCAGAGATCAGTCTGCAGTGATGGTGACTGTCAATATTACTAGCATCACTAAAAACAGATATGAAGAGATTATTGCACACTATTTTAAACAGAATGCGAAAAAAATAATTATATGCAGAATGTTAATTAACTAATTATTACTATTAAAATAATTAAACATAAAATGGATTTCGATTTTATTTACAAATATAAATGGTTTTTTAGTTATAACTTTTTTTAAAAATTTTATAAAATTTTATTTATGTTAAAAGCACCATTTTTTATCGGATCGGAAAATTTTATAATATTTGCTGATAACCGATATTTTAAAATGGGTGAAATATAAGCCCGATCCGATCCGATATAAAATATCGGCACATCCCTAATTATAAGAAAAATAAAATATATTATTTAAACAAATTAGGCTTTAAAATAAAAATTTTATTCATTTCTATTAAGCATTAGGCTTATCACTTTTTTCATGCCTGGCCTGATTTGTTAATTTTTCTGCTTGGCTCATATAAGTATTTCAAACATTATTTGGCCTAGCCCATGGACCCTGTACTGGATACCCCCGGGCTTGACATTGTAGATCTCTAATATATAGAATATTAAAACTATTAGAGGTTTTTCTAATATTTTAATAGAATTTTTAAAAATAATATTTAATCATTTTTTTATATTAAAAATAATATTTAATCATTTTTATATTAAAAATAATATTTAATCATTTTTTTATATTAAAAATAATATTTAATCATTTTTTTATATTAAATGCTACATAATATAATTTTTTTATTATATATTTTATATTTAAGTTATTTTATATATCACCAAGTCAAAATAATTTGAAGAAAATCATTTAACATTTATTTGCTGCTCTCATTTTGAATTCCCCTTTGAAACAATTGATATTAAAATTCCAAAATTATTTAGAATGATGAAATTTTAAAAATTATAGTTGGCCAAGTTGTAAAATATTTTAAAATCCAGGCTGGGCCTAAAGATTCGAACTTTGCAGGTCTCTTTGCTAAATGATATGAAAAATTTTGTGTTTTATTTATAGAGATTTTTGTGTAAATAATTTTTTTAAGATTTTACAAAAATTGGTTAGAATAGAATTATATAAAAATGTAATGTATATTCATTGTTATATTATTTCATGCTGGGCAATACAACAAAAAGAATATTCATCTAAAGCAAAAAATATTATATTAATCATAAATTTAGTCTGTGCAAATTGTAGATAATGCCATTGTAATATAATACTTAAGTTTAATTGGCAAGAGACCACCTCATTGAGATTTATCATTTAAATATGATTTAATTTATAAATTAATAATTGTCAGAGACCTGCAGGACCAGCTGGACTGAGCCTTATTTAAAATATACCCGGGCCGGCTTGAAATTTTTTTTTTAAAAAAAATGGGCCAGGTCATATATTTTAAAACCAAATATTTGAAATCGCCATTATTAGCTATAAAAATCAAAAATAAATAATGACGAAACTTCTATAGAAGAAAAATAATAATAACGATCTTTGCTCATTTTACCGATTATCAATTGGAATTCAGATGGAGAAAAAAGAATTTCACACTAATATACGAAAAGGTCAAATCCAGGGCTATAATTTACTTAGAGATATTCAGCCTAAAGTGAAAGGCCTATGAGATAATTACAATTTTTTAAAAAATATTTTTGACCCCCTGCCGGTCCAATTTCTCAAACATTCACTCCTGTGATGGTTTCCTTTTTTTAATATAAAAAAAATATTTTTTTAAATAATTTTTAATAGGGGTGTACCGATATTACTTTTTAAAGGCCGATCCTATCCGATATTCCTGATATTAAATTGATATCGGCCGATTACCGATCCGATATCATATCTGATTTGTATTCTGTAAAGATACCAATGTTTTTAATTTTTAATATACTTTTTATTAGTATAACATCTATAATTTAACTATAACATAACTTATGTCATTTAAATATATTATAATGTCAGTTATAGTTTATAATTCAATTTCAATTGCAATTCTAAAAGTATATAAAATATTTTTATTGTTAAATCACTTTTATATAATAAGTATAATATTTAACATTAATATATCGAAGATTTCTTTTTAGAAATACCAAAATTTCCATTTTATCAGAGGTCACCTGCGGCGATGGTAACTGTCTATATCACCACCTTCTAAAAACAGATTCTGAAGAGATTATCGCCCATAAACAGAATGCGCAAAAAAATAACAATATGGCAAAATTTAATTAATTAATTATTATTATTAAAAAAAATAAACATAAAAATGGATTTCGATTTTATATATAAAAATAAATGATTTTAGATATAACTTTTTTTTAAATTTTATAATATTTTATTTTTGTTAAAACGACATTTTATATCAGATCGGAGAGTATAATATTGGCCGATAACCGATATTTTAAAATGAGTGAAATATCGGCCCGATACATCCCTAATTTTTAATATTATTTGTTTTTTTTAAATATTTTATTTTTATATAATTTTTATAGTATCTTATTCTTATATTAAATTGAAATCATTTTTTAAATTTAATAAATATAATGCTTTTTTTTCTTTTGGTTTAAAATAAATATTATCGAGGGCTCACTGCTTCTATAGCTTGGAGAGGTTTATAATAGAGGTCTGGGGGTTACGTCTGCCGGGTAAAAAATTTTTCGAAAATGGGCAGGTGGGCGGGTTAAAAAACTTTTTGAAACTGCGGGTGGGTGGGCGGGTTAAGGAAATTAAAATTTTTGTTCAAAAAAAAACTAAAGAAAAATCATAATTAATTAAATGATCAATAATAATTTCTTTTTTATTGTACCAATCGTTTTTTTTAAGTGAAAAACACTTTACTAGTTTCACATCTTTATCTAATTGTTCCTACCATATATAATCGTTTCATTGATTTAATACCCGGATGTCCTGTATGCAACATTAAAACTCTTTTTTGAAGTGAGTACGGAATGATTAATCTGCCATTCCAAAATAAAATACCGTCATCATTTTCTATTTCATCTATTCTTGTTCTAAAAGCTTGTAATTCTGGTGCTTGATTTTGTATATTTGTACCATTTATTAATCTTTTTGTTGGCTTTCGTTTCCTGGTTGGATATCGGGGTTAAATTCCTTCTTGACTTGGTTCCATTGTTTCTACATTTTATCATCTCCTAGCTTTATATTATCATTTGTTTTTATTGATTCGGTTTCAACTGGTTCTTCCCTTATTCGTAGTTTGTCGGCATGTTTTCCTACGATTTTTTCTTTTTCTTCTTCCTTTTCCTGGTTGTGATGGCGGGTTCCTTTGGTATACGGCAACATTAGGTATATCTCTGCATTGTTTTTGACATCCACTAAGTTGTTTACTAGTTTTTCGACCCACCATATATAATGCCTCGTATTGGATTATCATTGATGTAACACCTGGATGTCCCTATGCAATATATGTAAAACTCTTTTTTGAAGTGAGTACGGAATGATTAATCTGCCATTCCAAGATAAAATACCGTCATCATTTTCTATTCCATCTATTCTTGTTCTAAAACCTTGTAATTCTGACTTGATTTTGTATATTTGAACCATTTATTAATTTTTTACTTTTCTTAAAATGAGATCTTTTGCGGTTTCCTCTCTGATAAAGTTAATGTGTCATAATTAAGATTTCTTATATATTTTATTGTTTTATTTTCTCTTGTTATTCACGATAAAGCATCTGCAAATATATTATTAGCACCATTCTTGTTCATATTATCATAATCATATTCAGATAATTTATAAGCCCAACGTAATAATCTTTGGTTTTTTAATGAGCTTAAATCTCTAAAATTACCATATATCTTTATTAAAGGTTTGTGGTCTGTTCGCATTTTAAATTTTCGTCCATACAAATAATTATGAAATTTTTCTACGCCGTTTATTATTGCTTTTGCTTCTTTGTCTATTGTAGAATAATTCTTTTCAGCGTCT